AAAGTCGGATTTTGATAAAATGGCGAATAACCGAACACCCTAGTGAATGTAAGTATATACGCTTTCGTTGCATTATTTTATTTTAGTGTAGTTTATTTCATTTAATTTTATTTTAATTTGTTTCATTTGAGTTATTTTTTAGGAAGAATATGCTATAAACATTTTACTAACTTCGCTGCTTTGGCTGTACTTTTAAAACCAACCAAGTTCAACCAAATGTTACTTTTTATATGAACATTTTAGTTGTTATTGCACAGTCTTTGCAATTTCGTATGCAATAAATTTGGCTCCAATTATTACTTAGTATGGGCGAAAAGTTGGTTGGGAGTTGGAGGGCTGAAAGGAGCTGAAAGGGTAGCTGGACGAATGGTTTGTATCTACAGTTAGGTTGTCCTGCAAAGATGTCGTACAACGTGAAAGGATGAATGGTTGCGTGATTAATTAAATTTCCAACGATTTTTAATGTACGAATTTTTAATTAGTTTATTTTCGCACTTAATTCTTTATTAATACAATAATTTATGTATTTATTTATACAAAACATATATTTTTGAAAGGTGACACTCTAACAACAAAAAAGATATTCTCCGCGAGGTATTATTTTGAATTGCGCTTTTTTATTAAAACAAGTAGACCCGTCGAGTGGATTATTTAAATAATTAAAGGTATCATAATATAAATGGTAAATTAGTAAAGCTTCATGTAACATTATATTCTTTCTACGTAAACAGTTTTCTGGCTTTTCTGAAGTAGTTTTCAGATTTTTGAGTTGTGACTCTTTTAAAGTTAGTGTGCATGTAACATCCGCACTTGCGTAGCTATTCAAATAAAATTTATATCATAAGTATTTGCTTTTGTAGCGATTAGACTGGGCTGAGGTTAGTGTTTCGCAATCCTAAATTCTGAGAAAATCACTTACAACGGATATGTTTGGTAAAACAGTTTTTTGTATAACTACTTCTACTCGCACCAACTGAGGTATGTGTAATCTTGTGAGCTGATCTGTGGCAAACGAAATCGTAATTAATGTTTTCCAAGTAGACACTTGATAGTTGGATATTCAAATAATGTGATATGAAGTCAAAATAAAATGAGTTTTTGAACTACATTTTGAACAATGAATAGTACAAACGTATTTTTTGGAATAAATAACATCGAAAAAAATAAAGTATGATTACTTTTGCAAGAAACATCATATTGAAATGAAGCCAAGCCATAAAAATGTAATGTAAATAGCAAAAACATTAACATTAAGATGCCGGAAAGTTATAAAAATGAAAAACAAAAATGGACTCTTATGTATATACAGGGTGGTTCATATGGTGGGTTCTTAGAGCACGAATGGTTTGCTCGACATTCGCCTTAACACTCTGCCTCGACATGCGAACGCTGATCTCGTGCGAATCATCTCATAAGATACATATATTGCGAATGGAGAGCGCTCATCGCAGATCTCATGCAATAAATATCAGAGCTCATCGCATCAGAATTATTGCATGCAATGAACTGTCAAACAGCGTGTTTGTCGGTTGTTTTTTGCGCTAAACTTGGATGAAAATGTTTTTTATGTAACAAATATGTTTAAAAGAATGTGTAATAAACTATTTTTATGAATAAACTCATCTAAAAACCAAGAATTGATCTGTTTCACTAGCTCTTTGCAATGAAATATTATGCGATGAAATGCCCACGTAAAAACAAAATCCTTTCGATAATTGTTCCGCATGAGTAGGGATGCAAATTTTGGGGAGTAACATCGATACATCGATGTTTCGATGCATCGGAAAAATGAACATCGATGCTAAAATACATCGCCAGAAAAACATCGATATATCGATGGTTTCCGATGCTTCGAAATTTGTTAGGAAAATTTAATACTATTCAATTCCAACCCTATAAATAGAATAGAAATGCATGCCGTCGTAAGTTCCCTGAGCCTAAAGTTACAAGGCCCAATTTTGTTGAAATTTCAAAGGGATCGCGGTCCTTTTTTAATGACTAAGTACGCATTTTTAATATCGAAAGATAAGAGTAAACTCGAAATTTCTGAATGTTCCTTTTAAAAGAATAAATATTAAAATTCATGGCCAGTCAAAAAATTTTAGGAGCATAATTTGATGTTAAAACATCGCTGAAACTGGCATCGATATATCGTCAATTTAGCGATTTTAGGAAATTGTAAACATCGATGGCAAACATCGAATTTCGAACCGATATTATCGATGTTTCAAAAATATCGATGCATCGTTTGCATCCCTACGCATGATATCAAATTGACAGTTCGCATGAGATAGCTGATCACAAATGGTGACGTGGGCTAATCGTTAATGGACAGTTCGCACATTATCGGTACTTCACGGCACCCCACAAAAAAATCGAATGCGCTGAGACACCTGCACTTTCATAGCAAAATGGGTAAATAATGTCACAGCTCCAAAATCCGCACCAAAATATCACTTTCTGAGGATGCATTGACTTCTCGACCATCCCGTGCGACTTTTCCAATCCCCAGATGCGGAAGTTTTGCTTGCTATTATAACCGCTGATATGAAAATACGCTTCGTTAGACACGATGATTTTTCGAGTTAAATCGTTGTCCATTTCGTTCGCATCATTTCCCAATGTTATTCAAGCCGAAGGCGAGTTATTTCGTTCCGCGGAGATATGATACTGACTTTCTGTCAAGATTTCCAGCGGGGAAGGGCTGCCACTGTTAAAATAACATATGAATAAAAAAAAAAACACTATACATACGTATGCACCACCCTTTACATACATTCATCGAAAGCAATATTAGTGTGGTAAGAGACGCTTAAAGAAATACATATCTAAATAAAAACAGCGAAAAATTTAACTGAAAACGAGAAAATGGGTTTGTGGAAAAAAGGAATTCGTTAACGACATGACATGCCGAAATTAATGGCATGTCTGACAATAATTAAACAACAAAGAACACTCAAGACTCCGCTGCGAAGACAACGACAACAACAGTGCAACATTAAGAAGAGTGACAGCATAGAATTCACATGCGCGCCATCTGAATGGAGAGTTTATCTCAGCTTCTTAAGCTCTAGCAGAACGAGCCACTTTTGTGTACATTTTATGTATTTATGTATGCACATTAGATCGTGTCACAAAAAAAAAATTCAATTTGTTCCAAGCGACAGTGTACAGTTGTTTTCGGCACTCTGTACGAATAGTACAGCTAACCAAAAAGTTCACATACTTCCCTCGGAAACCATTATCATGAGACGTCAAACTAAAAAGTTAAAATATTTCATCACTGTAATCCATAGTAGATTAGAAGCTTAAAAATGCACTTGAAAAGCTTATGAGAAAAGATAATAGCAATATAGATTTTGTAGAAAAAACGATTTAGCCGTTATACGTGACCGAAGGGAAACTTTTATCTATTATCCATATAGCCCACCATATTCTATGAGTATTTTTCTGCATAATAATCATGATCTCAAACTTCAGCGTAATATTTTAATCTTAATCTTAATAATATTTTTTTTTTTAATTTAATAATCGGAATGTTAATGTTAATCTTAACTTTATATTAATCGAGCTCAACCACTCCCATTAGGGTTTCGAATTAAAATCCAACGATTGCTTCAGTTTTTTCTTACATAAATGTTTCTACTCCAAAAAAAAAATTTAAAATTTTGAAATACTCTGAGTGTTCGAAATCGCTTGGAACAAATTGAACTTTTTTTTTTTGCACATGCAACGTGATACGGTCTAATGTACATATTTATGTATTTATGCAGGATTGTAGTTATGTTAACAGCCGGTAACTTGGGGATCAACAAGAACAGGCACAACTAAACTACATACATATCAAATATGTAGCAACAAATGTACGAGCAACTTTTGCTGATTCGAATTTGGAGCGCAATATAAACAATTTATTATTTGAAATGGAACGTAAATGCAACATCAGCTGAATGCCGAACTTCTTGCTTTTGCTATTGTGGTTGGTAAGTCAAGTTTGCACAACTCAAAGGATCAGATCAAGCAGCGAGATCTTTTATTGTTCAAATATGTATGTAAGTATGTGTTTCAGCCAGCATGCAGTCGGATCGACAGCATTTGAGAACTCGGTTTTGAGTTGTTATAAGTTGGTTACTGTTAAATATATTTTGGTCAAACCTAGAGGTTGCCTTTTACATTTTTCGGAGACACCAACATTCGAAAATAAATTCGTTTTTAAATTGTTCTACCTAAATAATCAAAACAAGGAATAGTTAATTGATTTTTGCAGAGCTTTAATTTACCGGCAATAGGGTGAAAGTAGTGGGTTATACGCCTCAATGTCTGAATTTGGTATCCCCGCAAAACTGTTACGGCTGTGGAAATTGACGTTGAGCAATACCACCAGCATCGTCAGAAACGGGGAAGACCTTTCCGAACAGTTTCACAAGAGCGTGTAATTGCTGGCGTATGCCGATGTCATCGACATCATCGGCAACAAAAACCGCGACGTTTGTTCAGCCTTGTGGATAAGGAAGCAAAGATAACAGGTCTGGTGGTAAACGAGGACAAGACGAAGTATCTAATGCAGTGTCAGGCAGCCTCGCAAGACTATTTGCGCTAGGTTTGCTTGTGTATTTTTTTGCCTTGGCACCTATTTTCGTTTACTTGCGAACGACCATTAACACCGATAATAAGACACGGGTGGCGAATACCGCAGGCGATTTCCATGGACATAGAGCAGCGAATTAAAGTGCAGCGGCTCCGCTGGCTTGGCCATGTCGTTCGAATGGACACCGACGCTCCAGCTCTGAAAGTATTCAACTCGGAACCCGCTGGTGGTAGCAGATGAATATGGAGGCCCCCATTGCGATGGAAAGACAAAGTGGAGAAGGACCTGGGTTCACTTGACATTTCCAATTGGCGTCAGTTAGCATAGAGGAGAACCGACTGGCGCGCTTTGTTGAACTCAACTAAAATCGCGCATACGGTTGTGATATATGATACATTAGGGTGATAAGAACTGAGATCTGTTAGGTAAGAGGCAGAACAGAGTATTTGGGGTCAATGAACTGCTCGAGAAAAAATTGATATTTTACTTTAAGAACCGACAGTAAATGCCGAAGATATGACAAAAAATGACAATAGGTGACCCTACGTTCGGCAAAAAGAAGTTTTATCGAAATTGCCTTGCAAATACTTTAGGCTCAGAGGAGTAGGGCGAACTTTTTTCTGGTACGGTCTAATATACATACATATGTATAATGATATATGTACGTATGTATGTATGTATACATTTCCCTGCGTTTTAATTAAAAAGTCATAACAAGATTTGTTAGGAAAGGTTTTTTTTCTGGTAAGCGCCTTCGGATGTGGGAATTAGCTGTAGATAAGGTTTTTAGGAAATAAAAAAGTTAGTCTCTTTTAATTGGGCATGTATGTAGTACATACATATCGTCGTTTAAAGTACAAAACCGCGTATCAAGGTAATGCAAAACCGCGTATGTGAGGTTGCATAAATATAAATTCTCCTTTCTGTGTTGCCGGAAAATCGGGGCGGAAGTATTTTTGCGCAGAACTTCTTTCTGCGTAGGCGGCCTTCGGCCGCTCTTAGGAATTATAACCCTCAATAAGTAGAATTATGCTTTCTGTTTTGTTGGAAACTGGAAAATCGTAGCGGAAGTATTTTTGCGTAGAAAACAGTTTAATAGAAAATTACTTTTCATTTCTTGAGCGCGTTTTTATATGTTTATTTGGTTTTTATTAATATGGAAAATATTCTTTAGGCTCAAAAGTGGCTATCCCAATTGAGGTTATGACACCTTATAAGAAGTGGCATAACCCCAAGTTAAAAAAATTGGCTTTATGTCACTGTATAAGGAATGACATAATTCCAAATTTTAAAACCCTGGAGTTATGTCATGGTACCCATTTCTGGCAAGTATATTTCAAGACGAATGGATAAGGCTTGACCCAAGAGCTTCGGTGAGCAAATCCAAAAAATGTCAGTTACGCGGTTTTTCAGAGCGACGATACGCGGTTTCGTACTTTAAACGACGATATGTATGTATGGACGTATCTGCTCCTAGTGAGGTCAGAGCCGCAAGCTTAAGCCAGTTTGGCTCACTGCGGAACTCGGTCTCCGAAACCATTATGGAGCTTTAGAATTTTCAGATTAGATATTACATTGAGATGATGTCAAAAAGCTGCAGTTAACTTTATGGTCGGCTTTGTTTTGACTATGAATATGCCCAAACCTTTTTTTTTTACTTGCCCCATTCTTCGACTTTCGATATTAAGTGCTTGAAATATTTAACACACATTTTTGTTCAGTTACATATCGTCGGTGATACGGCAAAACGGCCTGTGTCTATTAGTACCCATGACACTTAAATGGTCTCTTACTTGCACCGGAACGCATCTGCAAAACGTTACAACCTAATAGACGAATGACAAAACTGTCTACCTTTGGCTGATGCAGATGAACGATTGCCAGAAGCGATCAGATACAGATAACAGATCAATTAAGCACCAGAGGTAATAAGTGACATAGAACGTTTTGCAGTATCACCGACGATATAGTATTTGTTATACACCATTTATTTTTCGTATACGTTTTTTTTTTACTTCTGGAATATAACACTTTTCTAAAACTAATTGGGGAAAAATACTCAAAGTGGTATGTAATTATTTACAAGTATTTTTGTTTTGCTGCTATTTTTCGCTGCGAGGAAAAAATCAAAAATAAATAAACAAAGCAAAAAAATTGCACAAATAAACAACAACATTGGCAAAGATACGACTTTTCTATGTACATACACAGTTGCCCATATCAACAGCAGCAACGCTTCACTGCAGCTGGTTGGAAGAGCTACTCGCTGCTTCATGGCAATATGGCATCCGCTTATCCACTGCTTGGTTAGTGACCGTTTGCTTGGCATGGTTACTTTGCGACCGTTGCAGAATGGCAAAAGCATACGGCTAGATACTTGTAAATTCGCGGGAAAGTAATGTACATATGTATGTATGTATGTTTGATATTATTTATAGTATGCTCTGGTCTGTTGATTGCACATATTCACTTGCATATATTCACATACATATGTACAGTATCGGTCATATCTATAGCACGCCATTTCAAAGTGATATTGTGTGCCACTTATGTTTATTTATTTATTTTTAAGAATTTTCAATTAAAATATAGTTCTTTCTCTAACAAAACTGATATAAACCCAAGTTTAACAATTTGTAGAAAAGTACAAAAAAGTGCAACAAATTTTCATATAAATTTCAAACTTTTTTCTCCGAGGTGTTAGAATTTTTCTGAATACACAGTTTTATAGCACAATCAATTTTAGTCTGATAATGTGCAAGTTTCAAGTGGCTAAAGGTTACCGTTGATTTTTTAGAATTTTTTTCGCCAAAGGTGTTGCGGTTTTCTTCCATATACAAATAAATTGAGTTTATTCATTATATGGAAGCCAATGCGACAAAAAAAAAACTAAAAAATCAACGGTAATTCGTAGCCACTTGAAATTTGCACACTATCAGACTAAAATTGCAGGGGCTAAAAAACTGTGTACTCAAAAAAATTCTAACACTTCCGAGAAAAAAGTTTGAAATTTAGGTTAAATTTTGTTTCACTTTTTTGAAGTTTTCTACAAATTGTTTAACTTGGGTATATATGGGGTTTGTCTGAGAATGAACTAAATTTTAATTGAAAATTCTTAAAAATAAATAAATAAACATAAGTGGCACACAATATCACTTTGAAATGACGTGCTATAGATATGACCGATACTGTATGTACAGTGGTAAAAAAAAAAATTAAAGCCGCACCAAATATTGCCAAGTTTTAAAATATTTTTTTTTGTTATTTAATTTAGTTATTTTTTTTTAAAAAAACCGTGTAAATACAAGTTTTAAACTTTGTGCGTTATTAAAAAACCAACAAACTTACGTATAAAAAATCGAGTTAATTAGATATCTTAGATTTTTTTTAAATTTATTATGTCGAAGATGTAACGTTATTTTTCCATATAAAAATAAATTGTATTTATGTTTCATATGGAAGCATATGCGACAAAAAAAATCTCAAAAATTAACGGTAACTTTTAGCCATTTTAAGCTTTATTCTACTAGAATTCAATAGGCTATACAACTGCATACTCAAAATCCTTCTAACAAATCTAATTAAGAAGCTCGAAATTTTTACGACGGTTTGTTGAATTTTTGTTTAATTAACTATATTTTTATAAAAATAACTAAAATTAAATAACAAAAAAAAATGGTTAAAACTTTTTAATATGTGGTGCGGCTATAATTTGTTCGGCCACTGTATATGCAGACGCAATTAAATTGTAAATATACTTATGTACATATAAAATGACTGCTTATAGCAACGTTTTGAGTACATTGTGGTACGAACTGCTGACATGTCTATCAATGAACAGAGATCATTCCATTTTGTTTTAATTAAAGCAGCTAATATTACAAAAAAAAAACATATTAACGTACGCAGAAATATCTATAAATAAACAAAACTAGTTCCTTATTTTATGCATTTTTACTAAGATGAAAAATAAGCTGGAAAATAGCAAGTCTAATTGCTGTAATTGCGGATGAATGAATGGTTAAAAAGATAAAAAAAAAAAAAATACTAAATAAAATGCATTTTCATGCAAAATTATGGCTTCTAGTTGTACCTATAAATTTTAATTACTTTTTTAAATTTAAGTGACCGAACGAAGTGAACAAAACTGTTAACAATTTTTGCTAATGTACCCTAGTGGAAATGAACTCGATTTTATGAATAGTAAACCTCTTACAGGTTTATTGTCAAATATTATGCGTTTTCAATTTGCTGAGCAGCTAGAACGCCATTTTTTGGAAATTGCCTTTTTGTGTGCTACGAGATAGAGTATATTCGATTTAGAACGTCCACGATTTAGCTTTCCCTGAATCCATAAGAAACACATTTGATATTGCCTTTTTTGCCTTTTTTAAGATATTGACAATTTTTTTCTTATGGCACCTTTAAAAAAGTTATTATAGCGAGGAAAAAGCCCTTATTCCTCCACTTGTATCAACATACGTCGAGGGCACGTTTAGTACATTCAAGGCTGTGTTAAAGCTTGATCTATTTAAAAAAATCAAGTTGATAATGAAGAAAATCGATGGATAAATAACGAAGTAATAAGTGGTCATATGAAATGACGCAAAGATTTGTTGTATGAAAAATTAGTAGGAAAGAATATTACTCATACGCCATGTACACCAAAATATATCTAGAAAACTTATCCATAGAATAAAAAATTAACTCGATTCTCGGAATCAGCGAGCAATTCGATATAGGAATTGGATATGTAGTGGCGTTGGTTACCTATTTCGCTACTTTATTTTGCCTTTTTTATAGGTTTTTCGATCCTAAAAATCCGTTCTCTGGATTAGGACTCGAAAATTTAATATAAAAATTTCTGTTGATTTCGTCTATTAAATTTTATAAATAATCATTATTTTTAAGGGGAAAATAAAACTCAATAGTAATTATTACCTCTGAACGAAATAATAAAAATCAGAGACTCGATTTCAGTGTACCCCGACATTTTCTTTTTAAATGCGAAAAGGCTTTATAATACATGTAAATATGATTTTGAATTTGTATCTCAGATTTATTCTTTTATTAGTAAAAAAAAGCAAGAATAATATGGTGACCCTTTTTTTGCGACTTTCTGAAAATTCTCAACGGCACAACTGCCATAAACCCTTGCTGCTTCAAACTTGCACTTAATTATATTAAAATTGAATACACTCCAAAAGAACCCACTCAAAATTTTTATAAGAAATTTAATAAAAAAACTCGAAATATCGATGAAACTTGGTCGAATTCTCCCAATTTTTGTACAACGTTTAAAATTTGGACTTACATGGTTTTTGCTATATAAAGCACAGTACTTTCCTAACAAATTAAAATCATTTAATACACAAACAAAATCATCCAAAAACCGTTAAAATGTTCCTCCTTGTTACCATATTTAATTCAATTAGTGCCGTATTAAAGATCTTATATTCTTTCCTTAATACATATTATGAATCTCTTGCCGACAGGGACGTAACCGTTACAAGTTTTATCGGAAAGCCGTTATTCATATTTCATATTAGATGAAAAATATTTTTTTATTTCGCCGATAAGATTTATAATCCAACGTTTATTTTTTACGTTGATTGCTAACAGTTATTTCCAAACGTTTATTTTCCACGTTGATTGATAACAGTTATTACCCAATGTTTATTTTTACGTTGTCTGACTATAATAACTATTTCACTCCTCCTCTTTTATTTTCCTTATTATTGTCTTCTTCTCCATCTCCGTTTCGTCAATATTTTCCATCTAATAACTGTTATGAAACAACGTTCTCGTTAAATTTCAGAATTCAGGCAACGTTTTCAATTTGTAAACTCGGGATAACAGTTGCTCTGGTCTACATCATCCCCGATTAATATTCAAGAACCTGAGGAAAACAAACTCAAAGCCAGATAAGGCTTTTTCAAGTGCCAATAACTCCATTGTTTTTGGTGCTAACACCTTAAATTTTCGAGTCCTAATGTTCATATCGCTCATTTATTAAAATACTAACAACTCAACAAACTAGATTTTATATATTTCTTACGAAAAATGGGGGCTTCTTTTGGAACAGCTAATAAAACAAGATATAAATATGCCTTAGCATCAGCCACTTATCTCCTTATCTCGGATACCTACATATAACCTTTTTCGGAAAAGTTTCCAATTCTAAAACGTTCAGGAAAGTGTCGGCGGTTTCCATATACATATGTACATACGTTTGGCATATGTACATATGTACATACATATATGCACATATTTACATACATATGTATGTACACATGCATCTAAGCAAATTTACCAAAGTTTCTGAATTAAAATCGATAAAAACTTTGAACGAACAATATTCCTACCCATCCTCTTTGCCCGATGTGCCGTAATGCAATTATGCGGGTCTTCTTTGTAATTTATATGCAAATAAAATACTTCATGCAAAAATAGAGTTTATAATAAAACTAAACAAGAAGCAAACAATGTATGTATGTATGTATGTACATATGTATATAATTTTATACACAACCAAATGTACATAAATATGTATGTGAGGAAGAAACATGGCGTCACGAAAATGCAAAATTCAAAATGGAAAACGGAAAATGCAAAGTACAAAATGTAAAATTTTTCGGAATATGGAAAATTAGTGAGGCACAAATGGAGAGTGTTTGGCGAGAGGATACTAAATATGCGCTGTATGAGAAGGTTTAATTTGCCAAGCAGCAAAAGTACAAGCGGGCGGCGAGGAGGGTATGGTATATGAATGGGAATGGCTAACGCATGTTTTTGCCGGTGTTCGTACATATGTATGTACATATGTATACGTAGATATATATGTATGTATGCATGTAAGTACAAGTATTTGTGGTACATGCTTGTTGTTTGTGCAGAGCCATATTTTGTTGTGGTGCATTTTATTTAGCATAATTGTAAGCTCGTAAATTTCAAGTTGATTTTGTTTTGTTTAGTTGTTGCTATGGTGGGGTCATAAATAAACTAACAACAACAGCGAGTGTAATCATAATATTACGTAATAACAATAAGAGCACCGTAAACAGAAATGCAACAAAAATGCTAAAATATCCCAAACAAAATTATAGATAACGAAAATTATTAAGCGTTGTACGTATATGTTAGGGTATTCGATTATTCGCCTTTTTTTTAAAAAACCGAGTTATGAGTTATTCGAAAATATGCAATTTAAAAAAAAAAACCGGTTGCCGATTTTGAAATTAGGAAAAATCCGGATGAACCGGGTTTATTTTACATAGTTTTTATGCAGTGAAAATATTGGTGTGGTCATTACCACACAATACAACAAAACTATAACAGTAAAGATTTGTTTATATCAAAATTGAAACAAATAAAATTCAGTGAAAAATTCACGTTTGGTCTTTTTTTTATATTTATTGAATTTTTTTCTGACTGTTCGGTGCCCCTGCTGCCATATCCGAGTGCTCAGAGGTGCTTACTGCCATTCAGTAGATCCCTGGTTCAATTTCTGGATCTAACAACTTCAACCGAAGTTTTTCAAGCGGCTGTCGCCGCAGACAATCGCAATCCTCCGAGTGTTTCTGCATTAAAAAAATCAGAAAACGAATGCGAAGAGAAGCTCGGCCAAGCACGTAGAAAGCATTTAGGCACCAAACATTCGTTTATTGGAATCAAGTATGATATATTTTTCATCTCCAAATAACCTAGGGTATAATTTTGGAGCTATTTATGCAAAACTTGTAAATTCCTAAAAGCTATATTCAGAGGTCAAGATTTGGATGAAAAGAAAAAAAAACCCGGTTTGTTAGATCAAAAAATCCGGCTTATTCAATATTCTAAGAATCAAGATTTCAAACAAACCGCCTACAGATTTCCAGAAAACCGAGTCAATCACCCTAGTATGTATGCATGTATGTATGTGTATATGTACATATGTACATAAAAACCTATGCACAAGTTTATGTGGCGGCGATGAACATACATAAATAACAAAAAATCGATTTAAATATACCGACATACATACATACATATGTAATATACATACATATGTTTCTGTGTGTGTGTGCTTGTGTTTAAATTTTAGATGTAACAGTCGTTGTGGAAAAGGCGAACCGGCACTTAGATATAGCACAATAAATTATAATTTATTATAACAGGATTTTAATTAAAAACTAACTCAACAATAAACAAAAGTGATTTGTAGGCAGTTTCCAGGAAAGCAAAACAGGCGGAATGTTTCTGGATCATTGTGGGGGGAGCTAAATGAAATGGAAGCAATAATGAATTACTACAAGTATGTATGAATGCATGCTGGTATTAAATGCAATAATGGACATTTCGAAGACTTAAATTAGGTTGAGTGGGCCTCTCTGCAGGACATATTAAGCTTTAGACCATTAGTGATACCGCGGGAGGATTGTGTTTACCCCTGTCTTCTAAAATTCATAAGTTCGTGCTAATACGTAATGATTTTTGTGAGATTTTTTATACCCAAAGACCCGATATTAACAAGATCCTCGAATAACTATCTACCCATTGATATCACTTCCCTACAGAAATATACAAATAAACAGCAACCTGTAAGGACTGCAGTTGTTATTGAGCAGCCTTTCGGTACGCTAAGCACTTAACGTTGGTTATATTC